TTTACACACTTTGTAGCAAATACATATCATCAGAGCAGAATTACGTAAAGAAATTATTTTCAAGAATACACTACTGTGTATCTTGACACAAGATAAGATCTACGTTATTGAAAAAAAGAAATTGAGGTACTGACATGATACTAAGTTATAATAAGAATACGAACTATATTGTGTCAGTATTTAAAAATGACTTGATAGTATACGTTCCTACATAGCTAGCTTCTCGCTATTTGTAGGTACTAGTAGACCTATTCTGTAACTTTTTAACGTATAACATGTAACTCTTAATATGTAAGCTTTATTCACGTTACAGTAATTATTTATTTAGTCGCCTTATTTCAATTCTTTTAAAATTCAGCATTATTTAGACATATACTTTTTTATCAATGAATGTACTTTATATATATATATATATATATATAGTAAGATTTTTTATACAGTGTTTCTTAAATATCGCTCACTAACCATATAGCGCTGTTCCTGATAAAAAATTGAGTCGATAAGTAATTAATGAATTAAAGGTATGTCGAAGGAACATAATTTTAATTCTTTTGTGTGAATTTATATACTACGTATGTAGTCCTTTAAAATGCTGAAATGATTTTTCGGTCTTTCTCACACAAAAATTATACAAGCATTTAAGATCCAGCTAGATCGTTTAAGGTAATAAGATTTAAATTTCATTAAAGATTAGCACTGAAAATTCTTCACTGAAGAATATAGCGAGCCGCGAACGTAATTGAATCATTATTATATTCATATAGCGTGAATAAAGCCTGAAAGTGACTAGTTGCATAAAATATACGCATGAAAAGACGATTAATTATATACGATAAAGGATATTATAATGTTACATCTAAATTAGATTTAAATAGTTAGACTTGAAAGTTACAAAATAGGTCTGTAGTAGTACATATTCTCTGATGTACAGGTTTGTTCTCAATGCTATTATATTTTTTTATATGTATATGTATGTTTTTAACTACAACGTTATATACATCTAGAGAATTTATTATTTTGATAGCGTATATATTATTCTCTAATTTTAATTTCAATATCAATGAGAATGAATTATGCTGTCGTTTACAGATTTAATTTGGAAAATTAAGTTTTGTGCAGAATGATTCATCTAATTTAATCAGTTTGAATTACTCTTTTCCTTTATGTGAAAAAAGATCTGAAACAAAAGTTCCATGATTTTAAAGGACATATTAGTCTCTTATATTTTATATCAGAATAATATTTTATAAAAAGAATAAAATTATAAAAAATTTATATATAATAGCATATTTTTTTTAAATATAAAAGGGATTTTTAAATTTTTTTTTGCGATATTATCGTCTGAGTGAGAGATTACCTAACATTAAAGTTGTCAAATTGGATGAATTACTTTGTGTAATTTTACTATACTTATCAATCGTTAACTATTCGCTTACATGTGCTGAGACATGTGAAATTATCGTTATCTAGCGATAGAATACTATACAGACGGAACTTTATAAACTTCCAAAGACAGTGGATCAAATTTATTGTCATCTTATATACGGATCGCTGCTGTACATAAATCTCAGCGATTAATCGTGTCTAGAAGTGAAAAGTTTTTATTATAAACAAATTTCAAACTTTAATTTGAAATGCTTCGAATTTCTTCATTTTTTATTCATATTTCGTGAAGAAATTTTTATAACAAGTATATACAAGTATTTCTCTATACATATTTTTTTATATATTGTATTATTTGAAACGAATACGAAGCATATACTAGTATGCTCAAAGTCTTAATGTCTATTATTAATCGGTTTTTAACGCAAATAGAATTTTTTTATTGTTTTAGATATTTTTTTTACTATGGATACTACGGTATGATTATTCCTTATTATTACGATTTTTGGAATCTTAAGTTCATGTACTTATTCAAGAATATTCGAAGTTTAAACTTAGTTATTATGAATAGGTACGTATTGAGAATGCATAGTAAAGAATTTCTTGTATGATTAATCATACATCATTTATGGATATCTTACGCATGTTCTTTGCGCGTAGAAATGTGGGAAGAAAATTTATTTTTTAATTTTTCTCCCCTGCATTATATCCATGAACGTAATAAGTATAAACTACGCATTTCTATGAAGTTGTCACTATCGTTATAAAAAGTAAGATAGAGCTATTCATACTGCTTTTTTTCTTCAAAGTATCGATTTGAAGAGAGATGTTAATATCAGGGAATGCGCAGTCTATACCCATTGCGTCTGTGATTTTATTTAGATTTCGTACGATGCAAACTCGGAGTATATGTAAATCGGCAAATAATTCCGTTGTTTTATCAAAAGGAAAAATATGTATGTATACGAATGTGCCCATTATTCGCAACGGAAAAATTATTAGCGACAATAATCGAGTACCAGTTTCCGTTACGAACGAATATACGCGTCAACATATTGGCAGACTCAAGCGTTTTAATGTGAATTGCATTGTGAACAAACTATATCTTCCAGAAGAAGCCGATAGAATTCGCTTGTTACAGCGCTTAAAGCTTCCTCTCGTCTCCTTAGAATAGTTCTCTAAGATAAGCCAGTAAAATGCGCTAAGAACGCGAGACTGCCGTGCCTCCTGCCCCACGTACAAATCCGCTTCCGGGTTGTTTTCCATTCGATGATCGTTTTATGAGACGACCGTGCCTCTGCGATGATATAAAAATCAAAAATCGGAGCCTAACGCTGAGCGTATATTTTGTGTAACATAACATTTATAACTAGAGGTATAATTACCGCGACAATAGCGACCTTAGATTATCGTATGCATGACAAGCAATTATGGGTACGTCCCGAGTCTACAGCCGAACTTATATTTTTAGCGTAGTGAGATTAGTAAATAGTTCTACCCGCCATGAGGCCAGTTTTTACTTTATGATGCTCATCTCTGAATTGCGCGCGCTGTACTGTCTTATTGCGCGTATGTTGAGACGAAAGTGCAATCAAATTTAAATCAATGCCTTTGAAGTCAACCACTGTTTGCACTTGAGGAGATAAATAATTAACGTTTGTCTACAAAATCGATAATGTTTAATGTTAATAGTGTTTGATAGAGAACATTAGGAATACTCGAGCCAGCCAGCCATGCGGGTGTAAAAAAAAAATGCAGGTCGATTATACGCTTCAATGTACTGTTTAATGTAAGCGTGAGAGTGTGCGTACACAGGCATTATAACTTGGATTTCTTTATGAAGATTTTTTTTTATATAAAAGAAAGGGGGAGAAAAAGTGAAATGAAAAGTAGGAGCTACGCGCATTCAAGAAAACGCGTAACAGTCTCGCGCATTGAGGATTTGGAAGAATAGACGACGCCTAGTGCCTTTTCTCTGGGATTTATTCACACCGTCATCATTTAAAATTCACGTGTTGGGGAGGCACATCGGCATAAATAAAAAAAAACATTGACATAAGTTAGTTACTTAGGTAAAACGGCGTTTATTTTCATTTTCGTCCTTCTGTTACGAGGAGAGTGAACGTTCGATGCCACACTGCCTCTACAGTAGCTGTTTTAGACTACTTTTATACTGTTGATGTCACGCGCAGCTAATCAGAGTCTGTATATTACTGCCATAATTATATACGAAACGAAATGTATACTCAATATACCTTTATAAATAAAATGCGACTAAAAAAGAACCACGTTGCATTTATTGTCATTGCGTTAATTAATGGATGTTAATCTCTTTGCGTGTAAGATTTACTCGGTGACAAGGACGAACTGGCATCACAACAGTAAAATCGATAATATCGTCAATTCGCATAATGATGTTATAAGGCGTTTAGACTGGCGACAATGTCGGAGTGACCTAGAATATCAGTGGCGTTTGCATTTCTTTCTGCCTACCTAAGGTTGCTGAGTTCCTGTTCGGATGCAGGCGGTTCGCCTTGCCGGATTGTGCCGCGCCCGTGTTACGGCCAACAATAATAATGGCTAGCGAACCGGCTCGACTTCGTTGCATTTTTATTTCCTCGCCCTTCCCGACTCCCTCCCTCGCATTTTCACTCGCGAGCTTGGATAATAAGATAATCGCTCCTTTGTTCCTCCTTTCTTTCGTTTCTGCCAGTAATTTGCTGTCTTTCGTAGAACAAGACACGACGCAACGTTATTTTGACGGTATTTTATAATGGATGGCTGTTTAAATATACATATATGTATTGACTATAAATTAATTTTAATAAAGGAATTTTTATTAGAAAGTATTAGTAACATAAGCACTATTTTATGACGCTTGTAAAATAAAAGAGAAGGAAACACATCTTTTTGATCCATTAACGTAGGAAAATATATCTTTATTTAATATTAAAGTTAAAATTATCTTGTTATGATATTTGTATTAAATAAGTTTAATTACAATTATGAGTTAAATAAAGACATGGTAGAGAATTAATGAATACACTTTTGATATAACATTCCTTGTATAAATATATCCTATATCGGGCGTATCCCACATTTCTTTCAGTATATCGTGGGATTCTCAGTTACAACACTATGGAGAACGCAAAGGTTACCGGATGAAAGTAAGTCGACCCTATGGAGCACGTGATTGTGCTCGTATTTGTACGGGAAATCGCTATGTAAGGTACATCGAGCATTGCACGATGAAATCATTCGATTCTGCAGTTTAAACGTTTTATTCTTCAGATGCGGAGATATATGTGTAGAGATTTGCTTTGTAAGGGAACTCTTATGAAAATACATTTTAGTATATATAAATATTTTACGATGTTTTGATGGATTATTGATGATAAATTTATATAAAAAAAGAAAAATATAATAATTATTATAATCGAGCACGTATGTTATATTTAGAATTAATTTGGAATATGAAATAAGAACAAAAAGAGATCACAACTGATTAAAAAAAAGATATTTTTTAAATAACTCTTAGTTATTAACTTTTTTGACACTCAACCACATTTTTATTTCAAAACTAGAATTCTTTTGTTAAATTAATAGTTAGTCTCATCTCGAATTCGTTATCGCTTCTCACATCATAATAACTCATGTCACTCAACTTTTACTGAACGTATAGGAGAAGCCGTCGGGGGTCCGATTGAAATTGAGCTTTCCCGGCGGATAAAAATTCCGGGGCGCTGCGGCCGGTGTCGTTATCACGTTATGTTGTGGTGCGGGGCGAAGTTGGGGTTGATAGTGTGGCCTCGGTGGCGCATACGAGGGTATACCTTGCAACTCCGAAGGATAGTGATAGCGAGGTGGCGGCTGCGGCTGATATTGCGGTTGAAGCCGCGGTTGAGGCTGTGGTTGAGGCTGCGGTTGAGGCTGCGGTTGAGGTTGCGGTTGAGGTTGCGGTTGAGGCTGCGGTTGATAAACGACAGATTGTAGCTCGTAATCCGGTTGATAACGCTGCGAATACTGTTGAGGAGGTGACGGTTGAGGCCGCGATCGATAAACAGGTTGCGGCTCATAATCCGATTGATAGCGCCGTGGATATTGTTGAGGGGATGGCGGTGCGTAACTCGGAGGGTGGTAATCCGACGGATTATATTGCGCCAACGGTATGTACTCCGGCTGCGGTGGCACTTGCGGGGGTGCGCTAGGAATGTGATCTCCGGTCGCCTGCGAGACAAAGTTCAAGATTAATTTAAAATTCGATTAAAGTTAATGAAATAGAATTGAGTAAACCTGTGCTTTATATTACCGTATGATTAATTTTGCAATAAATTAATGGACTCTTTTTAAACTTTAGATCTAATTTGTTCTGAAATATTTATATATAATATTTTATATAAAAAGTTATATAAAAAAATTAATAAATTATAAATTTAGAAACACAAAATTTAATTATAAAAAATCTAACAAAGATAAATTATAAAATGTTATAATATAAATTTAGCGTCAAAAATTAATGAATAGATTTAATTAGCAAATAAATGTACACTTTACGTACTTGGAATCCGTTCTTTCCTGCTGTATAAGTCACAGTGCGCCTTTCCCCGGTTGGGTCGATGTACGAATATGATCCACGTCGATTACCTTCTATGTCGCTTTCCTCCTTAAATTCTACTCCGTCTTCTTGAGAGTAAGCTGCACCGAATGTGCCATCACCTGCGAGATAACGCGCGTCACTCAAAATCGCCGTTTGATGTGGCGATTGGTAATGAGGTTCTTGGCAGGAGACACCGATAACGATCATACCCAACAAAATAATCTGTGTATGTAAAGGAAATAAAATTGAATATATACAAACGAATTTTTTTGTTCGACGAATTGAGATATCTAAGAATCTAAAAGATGTAAGATACAAAATATTCTTATGTCTTATTATTTAACATATACGTTTTACGACATATATAATCATATTCTGATATATTTCATTAAATTTAATTATATATTTTTGATTATATTTTATATAGAATTCTATTACTATGTGTTAAATGAATGATTTGACAAGAGTGTGGTTTAAGATTAAATGGATATATACTTACGACTATAGGAGTCATGTCGAGGGAATAATGGATTCTTATGCAGCGGGAAGCGCAACAGTGCTCATAGAAGCCAATGAGAGGGGCGTTTTATACGGTAGGTTGGCTCAGGGCGACCCGGCGAAGAGGCCTTGATAGAAACCCGCGCGTCCCAATCACACCCGTCTTCCACCACGCCCTACGAACAATTTCTGTACAAGTTTTTCTAGTCGTTGAAATATCCGCATGATAACTTAGTCTAATATCTTAGCTCGCAAAAAAGTCGAGCAGTTTATACAGAGTTTCCAAAATCCCTGACGTTAATTGACGTGCGAAATGTTCTGCATTTTTATTCTTCTCCAAAGAAATTATGACTATATAATTTAAAAAAATGATATTTTTCCATACATAATTCTCTTAATTATATTATTAACTTGTTTGATGTTCAACTACATTTCTTTATTTAAAAAAAAACATAAATTCTGTTCTTTAATTAATGACGAAGATTTTTCATAGGAAAACTAAAACAGCATAATTTTTTACGACATTGTACTCTATTATTTTTTGTTTTTAAATTTAAATAATGTAAGTATCTATAGATTATGCGAACGTAACAAACTTATACATATATAAAAATCCAATAAAATCAATGTAAATGTGAAAAATCAACACATTGATATCATTTCGATGCGTATATCGCAAATATTTTTATTAAATTATTTAATATTTTTTTAGTATAATTGGCTCGTAGCCCTTCTTTTATTTATTGATTTATTCTTATTGAGCCATATTAATAATTTATTTTTTTAATAACATTTAGGAATGTTCGGATATTATTAAGATTGTCATCATTTAATTATTTTGTTGTATTAATAGGCAAAAAATATAAAATATGGCTTATCTAAATAATTAAAAAAAGTTTATAAAAACTAAAAAGAAATACTAATACAAATTCAAATAAAATACGAAAAAAACATTGCCGATTTAAATAGTCATATATCAAAATTTGTAATATCAATTTTATAAATGCCCTGAACTGAGATTAAAGCTTAAATGCACTTTTGAGAACTTGCAATGCTGAAAACTCAATTGTGAGTCTACAGTAGATTGTACCTTTCGTACTACAGTAGATTATATACCGACTTTTCTGATACTGTTACCGACTTCCAATGGATTATCGGAAGCATAACGGTGATCGTGTCGAAGCTTAGAACATTCTTCAGGGTTGGCGTCGCATACGATCTTCGAAATTATTTTTCTTTCAGAGAGAGGATATCAGTCTTCGTCAAAAAATAAAATGTAAAATTGTCCTTCATCTGCCGTAGTGATTTTTGATTTTACTCATGAATCTATAAATGTTATGATTGCGGTACCCAATGAGTTTTTTATATTCATTACTACATCGTTAAATTAGTTAGAATAGATAGCGATAACTTCAGGAAAATCAAACCGAGTGATTTTAAATGCCTCAACATATATTAACCGCATATATTAACCGCACTCCTGTTAAGCTAGCCCTCCCCACCAGCGATAAATGAATTCTAATACATACCAAAATTAAGGTATTATTGTATGTTAATTATTGTATGTTAATTAGGTGCTAATTAGGTGCTGAAGTACGGAATTAGGTGCTCGAACCGTTTGGCAGGAAAAAAAAACTAATGGGAGGGGGACTAGCTTAATATTAAGTTAGTCCCCCCCAATAAAAAAATCAACATTTATTGCGTAAACAAACAAAACAAATACATCAGAATTAAGTGCTAATTAGGTGTTCCAAGGAATTACTAAAATATTTCGAAAATACATATACAGAATTATATACAAAATTATATACAGAACTTAGGCGTCAGTCGAACAGCGAACAGTCGGTTCACAAGAGAGAAGATACCTCAAAAATTAGATGCTCAGACAAATTTGGTACTAAAATATTTGTTTTTTAGTATTTTGGTACTAAAAAACAAACATTTTAGTACCAAATTTGTTGGAGCATCTAATTGTTTAAGACCACTTCTCTTTTGTGAGCCGACCGCGCAACCTCTCTTTGAGTTCGAATTTCTCCCAAACGGAACGAGCACCTAATTCGGCGCTTGATATCTTTAAATAATACTAAAAAACAAATATTTTTTAGTACCAAATTTGTCTGAGCATCTAATTTTTTAAGGTATCTTCTCCGAGGGGGTAACCACTAGGTGAAATATTGTCCCACAGATTACATGATTTCATATGATTTTATCTGATTACAAATAATTTTTTCCACTACATATGAAGTAATTTGGTAAAATATACGATTTTATTTAATATTATACAATGGTTTCTCGTGGTTTTATATGTAATTATCGGATTGTGCATAGAGATTTCATATAAATTTTATAATGATTTCGAGGACTCTGTCCCACGATTACATTAAGTGGTTACCCCCTCGATCTTCTCTCTTGTGAACCGACTGTTCGCTGTTCGACTGACGCCTAAAGTTCTGTATATAATTCTGTATATGTATTTTCGAAATATTTTAGTAATTCCTTGGAGCATCTAATTAACACTTAATTCTGATGTATTTGTTTTGTTTGTTTACGCAATAAATGTTAATTTTTTTTGGAGGGAGACTAACTTAATATTAAACTAGCCCCCCCCCCCATTAGTTTTTTCTTTCTGCTAAATGGTTTGAGCACCTAATTCCGCACTTCAACACCTTATTAGCACTTAATTTTGGTATGTATTAGAATTTATTTATCGCTGGTGAGGGGGGGGAGGGCTAGCTTAACAGGGGTATTAACTATAGAGTATACTTCGTTTTTTCTCTCATTTTTTTCTCTCTCTCTCTCTCTCTTTCTTATTCGCGTTTTTTCTTATTTCCGATTTTCTTAATAGCTAATAAGTATGGCGAAAGTGCGGATCTTATTGCTCCCGGCCTCGAAATTATCGATTATTTTTCTCGTTTACGATTATATCTATATCTCGTAATCGCAAACGTACAGATTATAAAACTCTTTCAACAGGAGATTGAATATCCTGTTTCGCTTTTTTATTCATCGACGATTTCAAATACTTGATTTTCTTGTACATGCGGATGCGGAATTATTACTCCCCATTAAATACTAATTGACAGTAATATTACATCAATGTTCTAATTTCCTATTCAACAATTAATATAACTGTTACGTACAATATATGTGTGTTATATTACATTTAAGATTTTCGCAATAAGCTTTTGCAATATTTTTGATATTAATAATTTATTAGCATTATTATTAAATTGATATCAATTTGTGATATTATTATTATTATTATTATTATTTCAGCTTCAGTTTATGATTATGTTTCAAGTCCAACAGTAATGATTGGTGTGCTGTTTATTTAATTGAAATTTATATAAGTATTGTATTTATATAATATAAGAATTATTTCTAAAATACAATCGAGGTTGAATCTTGATAATAATAATATTTCCTATATATTACATTATTGTTGAGTGGGAATAAAATGTTCCTGCCAATTTTTACAGCTTTTTATCTTTACCATCTCCTTATAGAAATTTAATACTAATTCAATTAATCACTTAATTATTTTTAGTACAATATTAACAATATTTTTAATACTCAAAATAAGTGATTAATAGTATTAAATTTTTATATTAAGGGTCATGCGTAATGTCTTTCGTTAAATTGAAATGTTTAATATCGTAACTTTCTACATTAGCCATAGGAACATATATTTTGTGGAAGTGAATTGTAGTGAATTAATTCATGCATGTGGTATTTATCGAACGCTGTACATCGTGTATGTACAGCGTGTCGAAATATCGCAAATCGCGGATCATCATTCGAACGGAAGGAAGTGCATTTCTACATTCATGTCCGATAAAGTAAGTTCTCGATCGCGCCGCAATATCAAGCGCCGCAAACACAAGATCTTCCCAGTTGATCGGCCAGGAATAATTGACTTTCTCCGCCCGCTTCCTCCTGTCAAATCCTTCTTTTTCCCGTCTCCCGCCAATCGCACCTTTCGAATCTTATCGCGGCCGCAAGTTTTTCATCGTCTACATCCGCACGTATGGGCATAGGTTAATGACCGTTTCAGATGCCACATGTCGCAACGTTTCGTTTGTAACTTCAGAAAATAACATTAATTTATCGCCGGGAAAAGGAATTAACAAAATTCGTCGAAAAACGCCTGAGATTTTCATGGTTTGGTTTAAACGTGCGTTTCCTTGTCCAGTCTTTACTTAATATTTTCCACAATGATCTTATGCACTGTACCCGTTAATAAATTACTTCTACGCTACCAATTTCTTGAAAGAATTATTTAGCAATCGGAGATTTTTTGTTGTCGAATAAAAAATTCTATTTCTAGAATATGAAGGAAGCTATGTATCTTATTTCAACATTGAACTACTTACTACTAGGATTAATGTATAATATAACATCCATTTCTCATAAGCTCGGTACCAATAACGTAGAGAAATATAAGAGTTTATCGTTTAACATATTATTTATGCACGAAAAACAGCGGAATACGCTGTAGGTATTTATAGAGTTTTAATTTACGAGATTAATAACGTCAGTTCAGTTGGAAGATAATTATCATTGCTCACAAACAGTTACGTTGCACTCTCATCGCATTAGACTATTTGAGTTTCGTGAGCATCACGCGGTCACGTAATTATCTCGCTGTGCGAAAGGTTTTCTTTTTGCGCATCAATATAAAAGCGGCGTGGTTCATTATCCGTGGAATTTATAGATCTAAGCTAAGTAGATTTTTTTTTTCTTCCATTGCTTTTCACCCCTTTAATTTCTAGCTTGGCTATAGATTGCCGGTCTGACGTAGATTGGCAGCATATTATTTAGCGCACCATGGATGGTTTACGCGTCGTAAATTTAATTATATGAAGTTGAGACAGCATAGTTCCTTACAACACACTACTAGGAATAGTTTTTTTTTCAGCTTACTTCAATCGTTTAAACCAGAAAGATCCGTGTTACTTCAAGCTTGATTTATTTATCACAAATTCTTCTATTCTATTATAATTTTTAGTTTAGCCAATTTTCAAATGCATGAAACTTTATATTAGGT